TCCAGCTTGTGCTGTTGTCAGCTTGGGGAGGATCACGAGCATCAGTCAGAGCCCCTCCATTTACCTCCGAGGCACGACGCCCCTTGGCGTGAGATGAACCCTGGGCTGGCAAGTTCTAGTTTTCTTAGGCTACGCATTTGCATGACACCGTATCCCGGCTGTCTGCCGTGATAAGGGCTTTTTCCTCGGGACCAGCAGTTGGCATAATGGCTATGTCGCTGGACTCACATGTAGTCGACTGCAGCTTGAGTCCTGGATCCGGTGGCTTAAACTCATGCTGGGCACATGTGTGTGCGGGCCCAAGATCCCAAGAAGAGAATGGAGGAGAAGGGACTGTGGTGTGGCCATCTCCCCAGGGGGTGATTTCTTGCTCTCTGTGTCTCTGTCTTTCTTTCTGGCAAGTGCACATGCCCTATAGCAAAAATCTCTCCAAAAAAAAAGACTTCTTCCTCTTAAATTCATCTTTAGAGGAGATACATCTGGGACAGGGCGGTGGAGGTGGTGGAGCCTGCAATGAGCATGTGAAGTTTACCGCATAAGCACAGGTTATCATCCTGAACCAGAAGTGCTCCAACATATCCTGCAGCCCCTGCTGCTGCCGCACTGTCTTGCCTTTGTTCCCCTGGGCTCATCTCAGAACAAGCTTTATGTTCTTTACATCTCCTGGTTCCTCCTCACGTTCCTCTTTCTTCCCGTGGTTTTGCCAGGTCTAATCCTGGGCCCTCCTCTCCCCTCATTCTAGGTTCATTTCCTGGATGGTATCATCCCTCTCCTGGCTTCAACTGCTACCCATACCACTGGTTCTCAAACTCCTCCCCCGAATATTGTTTATAGAGGGTACACTCCCATCACTAACACCTCTCGTTAGAAAAGTGACTCTCAAACACAGGGACATGCCGAAATCTCAAAAGAGACATTTATTATATGAAGAAGCAGTTGGCATGTTCTGGGCTCTTTGGTCAGCTGTCCGTTCCATCTCTGGTGAATAGCATCACCGTCCACTGAGCTGTCTATTCCTGAAGCTCTGAGGTCATGACCACTACAGGATAGACAGGGCGTCTCCCTTGTCCACCGGTGTACCCAACGGAGTGTCTAAGAAAGCAGCTCAACAATAATTGCTGAAGGAACAAATCTGATCACTAAATTCTGGGGTCTCCAGTTCATACGTTTTCGACCCCTCCACTTCATTTCATTTACACGACCAGGGCTTCAGTTAAAATCACTACTATTGTTTACCTGGTTTACACCCATAGTCTTCCAGCTTCTAATCCTACTCCCTCCAACCATTTCCACGTTACAGTCAGAATTCGCTTTTCAGTTACAGATCAGTTCTAGCATCTTTCAACTCAAATCCAAACCAATTCAAATAAAATCAAATTTCTCCACCTGCCACATGAGTCTGTAACTCTCTTGACTATTCACAGCATTCTTTATATCTTGAGAACTCAGATATTACTGTGAGAAGAATTTCCTGATGCCCCAAAGCAGAATTAAATCCCGAAATGATAGGGGCCAGTGGGTGGTGTGGTGGTTAAGGCGCTGGACACTCCCACATGGCCAACTGGGGCTCGAGTCCTGGACCTGGTGGCTTCTTTTCTCATGTCCTCTCTCTCTCACTCTCACCCCTCTTGTCTCTCTCTGGTCAAATTAAAAAATCAACGAATGAATAAATAAAAAATAAAATAAATAATTATTTTTTAAAATCTCAAAATGCTCCCCTCATGTGTCTTGTCCTTCTGCTACAGAGCATATTCTGTATTGTAAATGCCTGTTTGTCTGTCTCCTCAACCGCCCTTTAAGCTTTCATGGGTGGGGTTGGCTGTGAGATGCAGGGCTAATGTGCTGCTCAAGAGAAGTTGGATCCCATGTGGAGGCCATAGTTTGAGCCTCTGGCTCGGACACCCTGACACACACCAGGCACACATGTGAGTACCCAAGACCTGACCAGATAGAGGACTGAAGGAAGGGGATCACAAGATTAGACCTTATAGATGGTGCTCAGCTCTCTTCTCAGACTCACATATGTGCACACACTCTACCATGAGAAAAAAAAAAGTTTTTACGAGTGTGTCTTTTTCACAGTATCTCAGTGCCCTGCACAGTTCCTGGCACAGAGTAGGCATTCCATACCTGGTGAATGGATATACTTCCAAATATCACCAGTGACTATGGAAGTAAGTAACTTTAAAGTGACATCATGGGATAGGTTATCTGAACACAGCTAGATCTGTAAGTAGGTACTAGGGGGTCCATGAACATCACGAAATTGTTCCCTGAATTTTATATGCATACACATTCTTTAAAGGATAATTTTCAGGTTGTCAGTAGAATCAGTAAACCGATTTTTTTTTTTTAAAATAGTGCTATTGGGGTATATTGGATTAGAAAGGAATATTCTAAAGTATATTATAAACTAATAAAAACAAAATGTAATATGCATGCTCAACATACAGAAACATATACAGAGATTTACTTGATGATATGAAGTCATATGGTAAAAACTTTTACCAAAAAGGGACAAGAACTAAAGGAGTTACAGGGCTGCAAGAGAACTAAAGAAAAACAAATAATGCCAGAAAAAGCTGTAAAAAGCCAGAAACAAGAGAGAAAAGGAGTGTCTGCCCACTCTGTCATTTCATACAGGGTGCTTAATCAGCCAATGCCCACAAGCTTGAGTTCATCATAAGTCTGTCAATGACTGTAGATACTGGTATAACTGAGAAAACCACTAACTTCCACTTGCCTTAACACTGCCCAATTTTGGGCCATTTCTATTCCATAGTTTAGTTGTCTGTTCCATTCATTCCAGTGACTCCTGGTCTAGACCTGTCCTTCAACAGAAGAATAGAAACAAGAAAAAGACAGGTAGGAGACTGGCTAGTGAGTAGGAAGGGGCAAGGTGCATTGTGGGTTACTCTACAGGTAGCCATCTTTCTCTGGCTCACCCAATTCCCTAATCTGTATTTACGGTACCATTGATGTACTTTGCTGTTAGCAAGAATCTCAACAATATCATCATGTTCAAAATGAAAAAATGTATGTAAGCTCTGAAGAACATGGTGGTTTTGAGAATTCCAAGTATTTTTAATTGTTGACCATGTTAGCCTCTCCCCATTAAACGTCTATTGAAGGAAGGAAATATGATTTTTTAGCTTGGAATTTTTAAAAATATTAGCTTATAACATACATGGCGATTTTTAAAAGTTCATAGCAAATGGAATTAATGAACTTTAATAAATTTAGAAACTTTAATAAAAGTTTATTTTTGGTGCAAAAAATGTGAAATCTATGCATACTTTTTACATAATATGCATTTTCCATGAATTTTTTTGGAGACCCTACCCCTTGTACAACATAACTGAGAAGTTTTCCTCTCAGTGTTTCAAGGATTCTAGCCTAACTTGCATCATGGTAACATCCACAAGTAGCTACTAATCTTACATCTAAGATCTCTCCAGCTGTAAAACAAAGCTTGCTCACATGAGAGTGAAAATTAGACTCTCTTCCTCATTAGCATAATCTTTCATCCAAAGGAAAAGGCAAGTCAGAGGACAGGAATTAGTCAAAGGGCCAGGAGAATTCATGGACCGATTAATCAGCACCTAGATAATCGGAAGTGGCCCATAATTATCGGAGTACAATTCAGCCCTACATCAATTCATTAAACATGAATATACATGAACAGCTCTGTAATATCAGTAAGAGCCTCATGAATTTATTTGTGTACCAAAAACCCATGTCTTAGTTTGTCGTAGAGCTCCAACTATATACAAAGCAAAATGGTGATTGTCAAAACAGCTAAAAGGTTTAAGATCCAAGTTCGTAAAAAGTCTTTTCAAGAGTCTACATTTACCTTCCTATCTGAAACTTCTGTGAAGTTTCTTCTATTAAAAATACATTAAAATATATTCTTTTAAATCTACTATTAAAAATATATTCTTTTGCTCTTTTCCTCCCTGCCTGCTTGAGGATAGACCGCCATCATGAATGACACAGTAACTATCCGGACCAGGAAATTCATGACCAACTGATTACTTCAGAGGAAACCAATGGTCATTGCTGTCCTTCATCCCGGGAAGGCAACGGTACCTAAGACGGAAATTTGGGAAAAACTGGCAAAGATGTACAAGACCACATCAGATGTCATCTTTGTGTTTGGGTTTGGAACCCATTTTGGTGGTGGCAAGACAACTGGCTTTGGCATGATTTACAATTCTTTGGATTATTTGAAGAAAAACAAACCCAAACATAGACTTGCAAGACATGGCCTTTATGAGAAGAAAAAGATGTTAAGAAAACAGCCAAAGGGATGCAAGAACAGAATGAAGAAAGTCAGGGGGACTGCAAAGGCAAAAAGTGAAAATGTGAAAAATGTGAAAAGTGACAAATGTTGGTGCTGGCAAAAAGTGAGCTGGAGACTGGAGAGCAGTAGAAGGAGTAAAGATTCTGCAATGACTGTCTGCGGTGATGGTGCGAATTTTTCATGAGAGGATTAATAACTAAAAAACTTTCATGTAAAAAAATAATATATATATTCTTTTAAGTCATAGTGATCATTGAGCATTGCACTGAGTCAATTTCTGATAAATTTTTGGTGATATTAGACAATCAGTTATTCTGGCTACAAAGAGGGAAGAAAGGGGGAAGAGCAGGAAAGAAAGGAAAAAATGCTGTTAACAAGAAAAAGGTCTAGCTAATGGAGTACTTATTTGATACAATATTAAATTTTTAAAATTCCGGGATTCAGTTAAGAGTGAAAATGGGGTTTTCCCTGTTATCTATACGCTTTTTGATAAGTCACTGTCGTTAATGTTTCGTGGGTTTCTGGCTTAAATTCCATCACATTCATGGCCAAACAGATCAGATCACAGGGAACCCATGCTGTTTTCTTCCATCAGAGTACATGCGGTTTAACCCTGTTCCAACGTTATGCTACTGGGACTGTTTTGAGGAAAGAGAGACAGACAGATGAGAATGGAAGAAAAAAAAAATTCTATAACCTCGTTCTTTGCCTGCTCTACTTGCATTCTTATCTTTAATCTCGTCCAACTCATTGTGTCTTCCATCTTCTTTAGGTTTCACTGCTGCAAGAGAGACCTGGGTTAGGAAATGACTTGAGTATGAAGCCAGGGTCAGTGTCGACAATGAGATGAGAGCTGGGGAGGCTGGGAAGCCAGAACTGGAAACGAGCTGCTGGAGGCCTTCACGTTGCGGCATCTACAATACACAGATCCCACTCATCCACACAGGGGCGGAATTTGCATTTTGCATAGAAAACATGTTGTGACTTTTCCAACAACCCAATATATACTATTAAGTTCTTTAAAAATGACTTCTGGGAAGAATTATACTGCTGAAGTGCGTAAGGGAAAGGAAACATGGCACGTGACGCTGTGGGTGGACATCGCCTGGGAAATCCAGCAGTCCACGCCAATGTGCCCACAAGGCAGCATGTACCTTGGTGAGCCTTGCAGACTCTGGCATTTGATCTCATTGAGTGGACCCACGAATGCAGACTCACGCTAACAAAACTCACAAGACACTGATGTATATATTAAAAAGGCAGTTTTATTAATTCACAGTGAACAACAGAAGATTTAGGCACACTGAATGTCTATATCAGCCTGACAATAGATTATGTTCTTGGAGATGCAACTGACCAGATGGGAGCTGATGCGCATAGAAGCAGAGCAAGTGGAGTTAATTATGCAGGATCCCAGTGAAACATGGCATGAGGCTCTATAGTCTCTCCAACAGGGCTGTACACCTGCCAGGCCAACTAGGTGTTTGCCTCAACCTGGCAGGTAGGACTGAGATTTGACCGTGCTTTGTCAGGAACCACAGCAATTGCATGAATAGTTTTTCTTTTTTCTATTTTGGAGACATAGCAAATACTCTTCTGATGGAGACGGTGTGCGTGTTTAAGAAGTTAATACCCTCAGTTGGGTTGTAGTCAGACCTTACTGCCCAAGGAGTCTTTATGCCTATAAAGATCACATTGTCTCTCTTGGTTTTACTCTATTAGGCATTCACTTCCCAGTTTAATTTTCAGAGGGTGTTTTCATGTCCCTGCTTTCTGGGATCAAGAGGGATACCACATGGAGGACTCGACATTCGCCTACAGTTCCACAAAGTGTTGATTAAATTCAAATTGACTTTGTAATTACTGTGCCAACTTTATGTCCACTGCTGTGCCAGGTACAAAATAATATTCTGAAGCGTAACAGGAGCCTCGCAGGAAACGTATATCTCTCGGATGTCTACAGCCCTTCATTCTTCCCGAGTTACATTTACTCATCCATTTTTCATTACTGTTTATGGATCCTCTACTACGTGCCAGCATTTACTAGGTAAAGATGAGCAGGACACTGTCTCATCCCTTTTAAGTGCTGATATTCCAGCAAAGGAGAAAGATATGCTCCCCCTCCCCCCCTTTTTTAAGAAGGCATTGTAGCAAGTGTTGAGTATGAAGCACGGTAGAGGGACTATTTTATATCTATGGGCAGAGGTGGAAGTTAATATCTTTTTTAAAAATATGACTTAAGAAAGTACTTACTAATGATGATTTTTAAGAATTTAACTGTAGTGATATAGAGCAAAACCACATAAGTATTTTTGCTCCTCCACCCCATCTATCTTTCAAGAATATCGTTATTAAGTAGTCTGGTGAGTACTTTGAGATCGTTTTCTACATCTGTGAAACACACAACACACACACACACACCATTTCCAGCACAAACATAAATTTCTATATTTATTATGAAAAATATAAAATGTAGATAGTTCATACCCTTAGTTATATACAATAAAAATACACACACACATTTATATGAAGAACACTTACGTGTGGTGTCATGCCCTCTCCATCTACACACACAGTTTATAACTTGTCCTCTTACATTTAATTGTTATAAATTATAACATGTATATAGAAGAGCATACAAATCTATATGCTCAGTTTAGTGAATAATAATCTTGAATAGCTACTATCAGGTCAATAAACAGAAAAGAGAGAAACCCAGAAACTCCCTGTCCTACCATCCCAAATGATTGTGCTGAATTTTATGTTAATCACTTTCTAGTCTTCTTTATATTTTGCTACAGAGGAGGCAGAAAAAGTTCAAATTTGTCTGGATTGGTAAATGCCTTTAAGGCACGTGCGACTTCAGGGTCTCACTTTTCCTTTAGCTTTTGGCCTTTAGTTCCTTATTTTTTCAGTACTTTGCTGTGTGGATGATTTTTCTCATAGGTACTAAACAGTTTTGATTATTTTCAGCAAGAGGACTGTTCAATAACCTAACAACCATATTTCCAGGAACAGTAGTCTATGCATCTCAGGCTCTTCCTTGGGCTCCAATTACGTGTACAAATACGGATTCTTATTCCTAGCTTGTTATGGATTACGCAGTGAGCACCTTTGATTTTCCACAGCACAAACAGTGAAGCATGCAATACATGCACAAAGAGTAAGAATAAAGGAATGCAAAAGAGAATAAATATGTCATTATTCCTGCCTTTGAAGAGTTTCTATTAAGACACACGCAGAGTTTAAATTAGAGAATAGAGTTGGGGGCGGGAGGGGGCGGGGTGGGCAAATGCTGTGTTTTGATCAGACAGTACATGAAGGGGGCTGGAAGGTCATCTGGCTGAAGCTCACTCCAGTTTACATCGAGAGAGATGGCTAAATGGCTGTGACACAGCCATGGCATGAAAGAGGGAATGCCATCATTAGTAAGGGCTTATAACTGGCTTGATGGGAAATGGAAGTCATTACAGAGCCTTTCACAAGGTAGCAATATCAGGTAATATGAACCTCATGGAGTAGTTTGTGTAGAATGAGACAGAACATGAAAAATCTCTGGTAGTTTGCCAGTAATTACAGGTTTTATTAAGTTACAATAATAAAAGTTACATTGTAGGAAATTATCTTGGTATTCTTGTACAGAATGTATGGCAGGGGAAGAAAGGCTCAGAACAGGGAGATCCCTTAGCAATATAAATAGACTCCAAAGAGCTAGCCCAGTTTCACAATCCGAAAAATATGAATAGCTGTCCTACCTCACAGGATTATTGTCAGATTAAATACACATAAAATGGAATGGCCAAATATACTAGTTCATTTTTTCAACTGCTATTACGGTTCAGATGTATGCTGATAAAATCAGAACTGATGCCCTGGTCATGGGATTGGAAACAAAACCAAGAGACCTTTCTAAATAAATGAGCAATGTGAATCTATTTATGGGATACAAAGAATGAAAGAAGAAAAGGCAAAATTGTTAGGTTTCCAGCAGGGAAGACTGGAAGAACAGTGATGTTGTGATGATAGAAATGGACTCAGGTCTGTGGTCTACAGTATGTTGGGTCATAATCATATCATGTGAATTTCATCTCCTCCGTCTCTCTGTTACCCTGACCCATACTTGGGTATAAGGCCCCTCCTTGTATTAGAACAAAGACAGCTTGGGATGGTTTGAAAATAAAAGTAGAGTTACATTTATCTCATTTTGAAAAAAAGTCAAAATGCATAAAAGCTTCAAAATAATTAAGACATGCTAAATTACTGTGTAGTCAATAATTACAGTGAGTAAAATTTAGCAATACCTTATAAAAAAACAAAAATTTCTTCCTACATCTTCTGGAAGAAAAAGTCTACATAAAATACTCAATAGAATTAAACAACCTTAGTTTTCAAATTATTTGTATTTGTATCATATTAAAGCCAGAATCACAAAATTATGTAAACCAAGAGCAATCCATAGAAATTAATCACATAAGTGGTTCTGATTTACTGTACTTTTAAAATTCTCCTAAGTGAATTCTGAATTCTAAAGTGGGACTTAGTACAGCTTTAAAGTATTCCAGAAGCCTCAGTTGGATACCCTATGTTACCTAGCTAGAGGTCAAAAAGTTTGAGAACTATTACAGGATGGAACATAAAAACCGGGAGAGCGTCAACATGATCTGCCATGTTGACTTGTTTGTAAGGTCACATCCCAGTAGAAGATGACAGAGTTGGAAATTGCGTAACTCAGCTTCCAGAACCAGTTACAACTCAGGAATGTGACCATTCTTTTGCAATGCAATTGGTCACCATCAGATGAAAATCTTGAGAAATAAAATATCTTGTTTACCTGCTAGTTCCTGTCAGAGACTAACTCATTCACAAAATAGGCCTTTATTCTAAACTACCAAGCTACCTTCTTTTAGGATTTAGGATAAGATTTTCAAATAACATAAAGCATATTTCTACATACTCAAAAAGGTTAAAAAAAAAAAAAAGGAAGAGGAGAAAAAGAGAAAAGAAAACAACTTTGCCTTATAATAATAGAATAGGGGCCAGCAAGTGGCATGGTGGTTAAGGTGCTGGTCTCTCATATGGCTGACTGCAGTTAGAGGCCTGGACCTGGCTGCTTGCTTTCTCGCTTTCTCTCTCTATATATACTCCCCCTCTGTTTCTCTCTCTCCCCCGTCTCTTGAGTGAGTACTCGTGCCCTATAGCAAATTAAACATAATAATAATAATAATTTTTAAAGTTAAGTAAGTAATTCTTTAAAAAAATAATGATAGGATATGGACAGATGGGAGAGGGTGTAGGTGAAACACAACTGAAGCTAGGGATAGGTACACAGAAGCCCACACTCTATTGTGCCTCCTTTGTACATGTCTGCAGTCTTCTATAATAAAAAGGGCATGTAAGCAATTGTTCAAGAATGTCTCCTAACTCCTATACCTGAGAAGAGGTATCGCACTACTATTAATGGTACTGTAATAAATGTGTCATTTGGAAAACAATGAGTTCGATTTCAAGAGTTCCCAGAAACTTGAGGCTTCTTTGCGCAACAGCAATAACAAAAATTATGCCAGACAATAATCCTTACTATGTGCACAGTGCTTACATAAAGCAGTTTTCATGCCCACGATCTCATGTGGTCTTCAGGGCAACACTGTGAGATACCAGGGGTATCATTCAATTTATGTGAAAGAAATACAAGGTTCAGGGGAATTAAGTGACTTCCCTTTCATTCATTCATTCTATCAGTATTTACTGAATACATACGATGTACTGGGCAGATCAATCCAG